CATTTCATATTGTCAGATATTATTTACATTACGCAGTGGTGATGTGACATTTTCAGCTATTAGCACTAGTTTATTCAAAGTCAAGTGTGACGACATGGCAACAACACGTGAGAGATAAACACCTCCTTTGTTGACAGGTATCCATCTCCTTTAAACCTGCATATTTCTTGCCATACAAAGGAACATTTCCCTTAACCCTCTGAACACCAAACAGCTTCTGGATGTTTTTTTGTTTTTTTTTAAAACTCCGGTCCTATTTTCACTCACTGTGGGCTGATTTTTACCGCAATATGAAATCTTGCACCTCTATGAAAACACAGCCTTGGATAGAATTGGAGAAAACTCAAAAATGTCTTCTGTGCAGGATAACAAAGTAGATTTTTTTGTTTTCCTGTTGGTTGCAGCTGAGTCACTGTTAACCGGTGTGCTGAGGCGGACTCGTTCTTTTGTGTCTTACAGAGGCTTTGATCGTTACAAAGTTAAAAATCTGACAGTTCTATCTTGTTTTTACAGGTACTGGCTGATAAATGACGTCACTTTGGTAAGGTCTTGAAAGTCAACATGACTTTAAAAACCCACCACTGGGTTGTGGGGTTCAGAGAATCAGAGTGCTGTCTGATGCTGTTTTGGGGACTAGAGTAGCACAGCAGGTTTATCCGTGCACACGAACAGTGGTTTACATCTCGTAATTTGACCCACTTTAACATATGAAACTTTCACCCAAAGTCTGCACTTCCTTGTGTGGGGACATTACACTATATTAAACTCTTTCTGAACTGGTGATGAAGACGAGGGAAATGTGCTAAACTGTGTGCTCACATGTCGGCCATTAGGTTTCTAGAAATTAGTTTTCTGGACAATTCTTTCCTGAAGTTGTTTCACTTCTTTAAATTACAAATATTTTCTGACAGTGTCCATGTTTGTGTTAATACCACAAAAAGACTAAATATGTGTCTGGTAAAAGCATATACAAACCAAAACAAAGTCAGTTATGGGTTTTCATAGCGTGATGCAGCGTGATCATATCTTTAAAACAACTGTATACTCACTGAGTCTGTTTCTGGAGATGGGTGACAGAGGCAAAGTGTCGTATCGCACCGTCTGATACTGTATTATCTGCAAATGAAATAGTCAGACATTGATCACAACACTTCATACAATATGATGAATTTACTACACCACTGCAGAAAGTTTTCATTTCCAAGGCAACTGTTGTCTCCTGACATAAAAGGACCAGTGTTAGTGTCTTGGAAACCCTTTAGGGTACAGAAATGTGGTTTTCTGTTATCTTCTCACAGCATCAGCAAGGATCATGAATGAAAGCTAATTGTGCTCTGGATGAGTTGGACTACGGCTAAGGTTAATATCTCCAAGAAGGCCTTATATTTCAGCTAAAGCAAAATATTGTTGGTAAACCAGATCAACAAAGGGAAAACAGGAGGACACCATACTTAAATAATGAATAGAAGTTGGTTGTGTCCACCCTGGGGCTCTTCCTCTGTAACTTTCTTGCTCTGCTCTGATCAGAATGACTACAGTGGGGGAATCTTCCCAGTGCTGCCTCTAGCCCAGGGGCTCTGCATTTTTCTTCACAGGGTTATTTTTATCCCCCCAGCTGTCGGTGGGTGTCAGCGGAGCATGGGGCACACACAGTAAGGGAGACTTGCAGGGTGACTTTGACTGAGCCTGGGCTGCTTGGTACCTAAGCCTTAGACAGAGCCTCCCTCCGTGTCCCCTCCCACTGCTGCCTGGCAGACTGAGCTCTGGGGAAGCCTATTGGTGGCAGCAGCTGCTGGGCACCACAGGGGGAACCTCACCGTCCACTCAGCTCTTTGCACCTCTAAGAATGTCCATCTGGACTCCTGGCCTGCAAGCTCCGACTGAATCTTTTGCCTCCGGACTAGGGCTACAGCTCTCATCTTAATTATTCATGCTCTTGTATCCTGACCAAGAGTCCTCAAATTAAAAATTATTTAGTGGCATGTGGTGGAGATAAGCAGGTAGCCCTTGCATTTGTGAAGCTGTAACAAGGACACAAGCAACATGAACTCAACCAGGGGTGTTTCTAAATTATCAACCAATTTGTCTATTACTTTCTTAAGTAATATTAAGATTAATTGCTTAAGGATTTGTTCCAGAGCAAAAGTTGACATATGGGGACTACTCATGTTGGCCAACCAATATTCAAAAACCTTTAATTATTAATTTTACTACGACAAAAAAGATTAGGACAAAACCAACAGGTATTCACAACCAAGAACAGTAACACCAGACAATCTGGGACATTTCTGCATATAAAAATTACATTTATGATTAACTGATCATTATAAACGGTTGCTAATTATTTAGTGGAATAATCAGCTGAGCATTAAGTTCTACCATCAGCTAGTAAAGTTGGGTGTTTTGTGTTAATTAGTTAATTGTTTCAAGACTAATTTTGCAGCTGCAGGATGTCACTGTATCATTTAGAACAATAAGTAGGTCTATTATATAACATGGATGACTGTAAGATTAATAAACAACCATATAGTCATTTGTTGACAGAGTCTCAGGCATGGGATTATGACCCAATTCTAATATTCATAATCCAATCAGGCTTTTATTGATCCATATTTTTGGATCTGGTTGTAGGTTATCAGGCTGTCAGTTATTTATATCAAACTTTTGGAATGCTTATATTTTTAGAGGTACTGAATGGGTCAGATCTTACAATCCTGACTTCAAATATGTTCCATCACACTTGCCACGCACATCCATAGGATCACCTACACTTCAGCGCCCAGTCAATGACACTGGTTCAGTGCATCACAGACTGTAAACAAGGGTGCTAAACTGTGAGTGAGAATGAGAGAAACAGAGGGAGAGAGAGAGAACAGTACGCTCTCTGTGCCGACATAATCCCTCTCACTTCAGCCATAACATGGACTGAACTCCTCTCACTCAGGGCCTGTTCACAACCCGCAAGTGTTGTTGCCACACAATAAACTGCAGCCAAACCTCCAACAGCAAGATGATTACAACACACAGGGCACTCCTCCAAGCTTTGTTGGTCTGATACGGAGCTGGAGTCGAAGTCCACTCATATTACACCACATATGCATGTCTATTAGCAACTCACCCATGTGTATGTCCAAGTTACAAGCATGTGGCGTCTGTCACCTTAAATGCCATGCTTATTGTGGAGGCATTTGTGAGCAATTGAAGGTGACCTGCACGCTTGTGCTGCTGCTCCTTAAATTTGGATGTGGCGGGGCTTCTATTTTGCACTGCAGCTCCAGCTCCAGCAGCCATTTATTTACAAAGTCTAATCACACAATAACACCCAGACACAATATTTAGCTGAAATATTCAGTCTGATAATCAATTTGATGGTTCAGCAACAATTTTGATAATGAATTTAAAACGAATTATCAAGAAAAAGAGTTTTGCTTTTCAAAAATTACTTCCAGAATATTCATTTCTTCTACATGTCATGGCTGGTTTAAGTTCTGGACTGTTGGACAAAATTACCTTTTAAGGAGACTTTGCACTATTTTTTGATATTTTACAGACAAAATGGTTAATAAGCCAACTAAAAAAAGTTTGTCATTTAGTTTGAAAAGATAAATGTGGTTTAATAACGAAAGTAATCATTAGAGGCAGTTGTACATTTGAATCAATAACGAAAGTAGGCAGTGGGCAGTTCTACATTTTGCAGTACTTTATATACTTCTTTTGTTGAAAATGTGTTTACACTTTTAAAATCTGTATTATACTTTTATAGTATTTAAATATGACTGCGTAAATTTAAAGCTGCCCCAAGGATGGAAAAGTATTAAAATTCGACATTGATGCTATTCAATGGGAGCCAACAAGAGATCCCTACAGGTGATCTGAAAAATATTATTTGGGCACATAGGAGTCATGGAAACGTCAAGACTTGACTCACTTGTCACAGAAACACAACAGCACCAAATGACAAACATCTTTCAAACCCCTTCTCACCGTTCGTAGGTGCTTCCTGAGGATGTACATGATGAAGCCCCATATTCTGGACGTTACGCCGAGAAAAGTGCGGATGCCAAGTAAACACTGCCGGGTCTTCAGCATGTTGATGAGCACGCAAAGACCCCACAACAACTGAACTTCAATTCTCACCCGTTTGACGCAAGTTGCAAGGGTAATTACTGAAGAGACTTGCTTGCTACACAGTCAAAATCCGTCTTTAGCCACAGCCGCCAAACTAGCAATTCAAATGAACAAGAGGCCAAGCAAACGTGTGAGTACCTCGCTCTGCACACTTGTGGCACAATCAGCATTAAAAATAATGCATTCGCATCGTAACAGTGACAGACAAACGTGGACGTGGTCAAAAAACGCCGCTGCTCGACGACTGCTGCTGTATGGACCTTAGCACGCAGCTCGTTGACAAGCTAGCTTTAGGTGTACTAACTACCGTTAGCTAGTAGCCGCCGAGCTACCGCTAGCTCGACAGGGTGACCACCTTGAACCTTGGACAAAAATACCCCCAAAAAGCTGTGGGGCCGCTCGTTGACAAGCACCGGTTTAAGGCGACTTCAGTCTGTGCGGCGTGCGAAGAGAGACAGTTCAGCAAAAGTTCCCCAAAGCCTAACCGGGTCCGGTTAAAATCAGTTTGTAGTCCAGTGGAAATCCGGAATGAAACTGCGAGCCGCCATCGCCGCTTTGCCGTCACTTCCGCGAGGAACTCTGCGGTTGCGCGCAGCACGTCCACGTGGAAAGAAAACAAACAGACGTGGACGAGCGAATGTCTGCTCGGTCGAATTTCGTTAAAAATGACCAGTTTTGCTAAAGTTCTCCATTTTATGTTTAGCTAATCTCTTTGTGGCTGCACTGCACTTTAATATAAATAAGATTAATGGTTAGACATCTGTGTGCTGTCACGTTGACAGGAGCTTAATTGGTGTCAATAAACCTCATTATTCTGAACAAGCTGTAAAACAACAAAACATGAGAAAAACCACTTGCTCGTGGATAGATGTGTTTACTAGGAACTTTATTTTTTTTATGTATTGTACAAGTGTGTAGTTTGTCTGGTGAATAAATAAAACTAAAATCCATTTGCAATGTATAATGTATAATTGGCAGGGGCAACTTTTACAGCCGTTAGCAAACATGTGGTCTTGCCAGCTGCCAACAAATTCCAAAAACTTTCTTACACCTACTCCGCATTACTCCAAACTAGGAAATGAATCATCTCCTCTGACAGACATTGATTTTAGTACTTATAATGTGTGGTGGTGTCAGTGGAAGCCAGTTATCGTTTGTTGCAACTAAACCTATGGCATGAATTGAGCAATCACTGCTAAAGTCGCTCATTTAGAAATCCACATTTTCAATAAAACAGCATATGTAAAAAGTGTAATCATAACCTAATCACAGGATGTCATGGAAGCACTTTCACATGTGCGATTAAAAAAGTCCAAATTAACTTAAGGCAATTAGACAGTTTATATTTGTGTCCTTCGTTACGTTTTCTGGCTGTGACACAGACAGTTGTCAGCTGTGTTTTCATTTATATTTCATTTATAGTATGGATGTATGTTAGATGTAGTATTTTAAGGAAAGATCAGCATTTAGAAAGAAGTCTGAAACAATAAACTTCAGTTTGGTTAATAGAAATGTTATTCCCTCTGATCACTTTAATTACCTTGTGACCCCTCAAATCAAGTTTGTGCAAGCAACTGCAAAAAAAAGATAGTATAAAGATTCGGAAAGAATCAATTTTATACATTTCGTACAGGTTTCTTATAGATATATTGGACATTACTTTAAATTTTGAAAGTTCTCTGAATTAACGTTGAAGATGACATAAATGGAATGAGTCTCAAATGCTACAAATGACTGTGTTTCAGTGGCACGCAGGACATGAAACATGGATCTTCTGTGGCTTTAGTAAGTTGTGTGCCTTGGCCCTATACATCAAGATCATCATCTGGGTCCTCCTGGTCAAAGTCGTCGTTGGCATCAGGCTCGTACAGAATGCGTCCAGAACCTTGGCCCGAGTGGAGCAGAGCTGTTTTTCTGCAAGATTAAAAATGGGACAGTATTTTGGTTTGTCTTGTGCTTAGAAAATTACAAAACATACAGAATGTGATCACTTTAAAATATATGGCTTGTAAGAAAGCTTCTGACTTCTCTTTGCTGAACATGAAGGGAAGTGCAAGTTTCTCCTTGGCCTTGCGTTCTGTATCAGACAGTCGAAGGTTGAAGGTCAAGTTAGCTGTTGGGTCCGTCTGTGAAAACACAAAGCGGATACTTTTTTCTCTGTCTTTCCTCTGTTGAACCTTGCATGGTGCTAAGGTATTATGCACGTGTTATATTGCACCTGCTGTTCCTCAGGGTCAGCCTGTTTGTGTTCAAGATGGCTAGGCTTGCTCTGTATGATGACTGTAAGATCCTCTTTGATGCTGAATATTTCCTCCTAAGGGCAAAAAACAAAGCTGTCAACAGTTTATAATAGTGTAGGAACACAAAATAGCCATCCCAAATGCAAACACTGCTTACATCTTGCGTGACTTTCCCCGATTTTGAGCGCTTTGTTATTTTTGCCACTGCTTCGTCTCCCTTCATTCCAGGTGCTACAGTGATGACTGAAGTAGCCAAGTGGCAAATACTTCCCACAGTACCGGTCTGATGCATATCTGCATGGAGCAGACCAATAATAGCTCTCACAGCTCCCCCTAATGAAAACACAGAAAATAATCCTTAAACAGAGGTAGTGCTGTATGCTCTTCCCAGTCCACTTACTCTCAAACAAGTCAACCAAGAAAGTCTGACAATAGATAGTACACATAAATTTTATGTATAGCTTGACTTTTCATGAATAACAATTACAGATCAAACCCACTCCTGGAAGTCATACCTTCCTTTATTCTGTAAAACTACACTAAAACCTCAACATAACATTGCCACAAAAAAAAATATTTATCACCTCTTTTCAGCTGCTGTAGAGTCTTGCAGACAACAGGGGGACTGACATGTCTCAATATCCACGATAGAGAGTCAATTACTAATGTAACTGGTTTGGGGTGTGATGTTTGCTTGACCAGATGTGTAAGTTCCTCCAAACCGAACTGATGAACTGTGAAAGCCAAGTTATCCGTCCACCCAAGGGGGTCTGTATAAGCATTGTGAAAGCGTAGCCTAAAACAAAAAAAAAGAAACAGATGATAAATAGTCAGTTTGACTGCAGAATAAACAAAGTGAAATGCTGAATATTCTTTTCTGATCACATAAATATGCATTTTTTATTACATAAAATTTACAAAAATACTGGAAAAATGTCTGCTTTGACACATCTTTAGTTTGAATAGTTTAACACCCAAAGAAATTCAGCTTCTTAAACAAGAGAAATAAATGCTTACATGAGTGAAGTTGGAACCAGTGAATGATTTGTTTATTGCTGTATAAATAACACACAATTTACCAAACATCAATTCATTTTCAGTTGATTGGTTCATTGTTTGATTACCTCTGATGGGCTGATGTTGTCAATCCTTCTCCAAGCTCTTCCTCACTGACCTCAAAGCCGAGGACATGAATAGCTTCCTCCCTATATTTATAACATAGAGCAAGGTACACTTTAATACATATACATACATATATATATGTATCAGATACATAACTTGGCCACACTATTAGTTAATACTTCCTTCATAACCAAACATTCACCATACTAATTGCTGTAAATACCTGTTCAGTGCAGCATTGATGAAGCTCTTCAGGAGGTGTCTACCAGTACAACTAGAAGAATCTGTCGATTCAAGTATAAATTACACGACTTTAATTTTCGATTAACATAGCTCACAGGTCTGTTAGTGTTGGCAATTTGAAAATGAATTCTACAACAGTAAAGTAATTTACCTTGTATTATGAGGAAACCCCCACTGTCAGTGCCTTGCAGCAGTTCAGACAACATGGTACACTGTCACTGAGCAAGGTAGCTTTAGCTCCTTAGCATACTTCTGATACACCACCGACTAAAACATGGATACCATAAGAGAAACCGGCTAGCTCAACGTCAGAAGGAGTACATCTCGAAAAGCTAAGAATGATAAGTACCTACTGTTGTTGCAAGTTGCGTTTTTTACTAAATAAAGCTTTCTTTGTCCGACACAAGTGCAGCAAGTTTCGCTAGGTAGCATGTTTGGGTTGCTTGGATTAAAAAACTTCATATCCCAGAGTTCCCGTTTCCTTAATGTCGCTTAATGCAGGTAAATGTAGTTCAATGACATTTACGACTCTCGACTCTCTGGTTTGAATGGCTGCATCACCAGACTACGTTACCCAGCATACACCGCAGGGAACCTTATGCTGGCAGCCTCAAGAGGCTTCTGCCGCGCACGGACGGAGAGGACCGTGCGGAATAAAGCAAAACTCCAGTCGTTTTGAATGCCTACAGCGAAGACACGGAGAAAACTTCATCTGGGAAGTTGCTATCATGGATCAGCAAACATTACTTGCGCTTATTTGAAGAGAGTTGACACTTCGGATGTATTTCGGTACCAGCGGTTATATAAATGCACTGACGAAGAAAAGGGAGCTTTAAGTGTAGCACGTTAAGCGACAGAGGAATTAGTAATTTGTGGGGCTAATAGTGTGGCGACAGCCCAGAGAAGGTTCGCTTCTGAGACGTTAACCCTTCTTACGGATTCCCATCAAGGGAAAACAACATCAACTTCGACCCTCGGTGGAGTGTTTGGAAGAAGGGTCTCTTCGGTCCTCTTCGCCCTTGGCTTTCTGCTGCTAAAGTTGCCCGGCGGTAAGGTGCAGCCACGCCGGGGGAAGGCACGGAGCGACGGCCGCTACTCTCCGGCTAGCTCGGCTGCTGCTTCTGTTTCTAGGACCGAGGCCTTGTCGGTTAGGCGACAATGCTTGACATAATGTCTGAACACCAAGGTACGTTTAACCGACGAAAAGCCATTAAAGAAACAGTTCCTTGTGATGTTAGATTGTCAATCGATGAAAAATGTCGTTTTGCGGGCATTACGGTAGCTAACCTGATGTGAGCGAGGGCTAACGTTAGTGCTACGTTTGGTTGCGTATGCTGTATTATTAACATTGCTTACTCTAGAAAGACTTGTCGTTGAACTGCAGTGAAAGTTGTGTTAAAGTGAATATCGAGTATATGGAGTTTTTGTTCGAATACTGTGGCCAGCTAATCCAGTGTTAACGTACTTATTGCACAGTTCAGTTAGCCTGCGAGATAACGCGCCGAACGACCTAGCTTGAAAGCTACTAGCTGGATAGCCAACGTTGCCCAACCGCCTCATTGAAAACACTGTCACAAGTCAGTTTTAAGTAAATTAGCTCGCCTGTCAGCCACGAAAACTTCACGTTTTAACATTAGCTCAAACTTCAAAGCTGTCAAACACGACACACCCGATTTAATCGCATCACCTTACTATCATCATGCTAATTTTGCTATTGAGCCTCCCACTTCCATTTCAAGAAAGCCAGCGCGAATCGCTAGCTTGACGGGGGCTGATCGTTAGCACTTTTGTTTTTTTTTTTTTTAGAATCAAACATAACATTTCCCAATACACATATGTTCTTGCAGAGTCTGTCTGGAGTTGAAGGGGTCACACTAGTCCAAACTGTGCTTTCGCAGTAAACTGCAGAACCTGTTGTTAGCTTCCCCTCTACATGTCAGCTAACTTTAGCAGGTAGCATACAGGCAACACAAAATGACAAGATAGCACATTTGCATCCGACAAACTGAGGCTAGTTATCAACGCTTTTGCAAAACCAACTTTTAAAAAAACCTTTAATGTGAAATCGATGAGTAGTTAAGCATGGCTGATGGACATATATTCAAAATCTGCCTGAAGTTCGGTGACCAAGTGACACCGGTTGCGGTTGTTGGAGGACACAGATAACTAGCATTACTGTCCGACGACTTACTTATTTTATCGGCTACAAGTCAACGCTATTGTGTATTTTAACGTTACTAAGCAAATGCGTCTCTTAAATAAGCCAAACATGCGCATCGCCAACGATCCCGATCACATTATTGAACCGTGTTAGCAAGCTAATGTTAGCAGTAGCCCATTCAGCATACCACTAGGCAACCTTATGGTTTGCAATTGATGTTGGCTTTTACTGACAAAAGGACAAAGTGAATGGGAACTGGTCGCTTGTGATTTACAGATGTGCTTTTTTCCCCCATCAGATTCACTGTTGACGTGCAAAACGGAACCTCTGGTGAGTACTTTGCATTGCATTTTACATTGAATAGTCAGAGTGTTTCATTCAGTTGTTCTCTGTTGTTGAGGCTTGTCAAAATAAGCTTCAGTTTTTTTAAACATGTGCTTTCTGCAGCCCCCAGAGAGGAAAAAGAGGACTGTCGAGGACTTCAACAAGTTCTGCAGCTTTGTCCTAGCTTATGCTGGCTACATCCCCAGTCCAAAGGAGGTAATCTGCTTTGAACATCACTGTTGATAAAAGAAACTGTCACTATAGCCTCACCTTGCTCACGTCCTGTCAATGGACTAAAACTGTCTCATGTTACTTTACAGGAAAGTTCATGGTCCCCCACATCATCCAGCTCTGCACACAGTTCAGGGCTGTCAGCAGATGGAGGCAGCAGCTCCATAGGCAACACCTGGGCAGATGGAAGCTCCGACATCCACACCATCCATACATTCGTCCGTAAAGCTCGCGCAAATAAGGGTAAAAATATCCGTCGCATGCACTCTGATAGCACACTGCTGGACAAGATGCGCCTAAAAGACTCCCTGTATGAGAGCCAGGCCACCTCAAAGGCGGAGCGCAAGAAGGACAAAAAACTGAAAAAGCTGTCGCTGGGTTCAGCCATGACAGCAGCAGACAGTGGCAGCAGCGAAGGCGAGAAAAGAGCCCGCATCAAACGCAGCAAAAACTCAAAACAGCCCAAACCTAAGAAGCTCAAGAGTTCGACTGCTCAAAGCGAGACAGACTCTGAGGCGCGGAACACGCACGGTGAGGTACGAGCTGACGGGGAGGACCTGGCAGTGCACGGGGGCTCCACTTCGAGCATACAGAGCTTGGGAAAGATGCAACCGGACGAATCAATCAGGGAAGCGGAAATGAGCTCCAGCGAGGGTGAGACTTGGATCGCCGACGAAGACATTATGGTGGAGTCAGGTATGACACTGTCTTTATTATTCATGTGCATACAGTCACGAAATATCTAACACTGAACTGTTATTTCTCCCCAATGCTTAGTGTGTACATAGCAACACCTACATGTCAGCTACAACGTCCCATAACTCTGATCTCTTTATCAACACAGGCGACGATTCATGGGACTTGATCACCTGTTACTGCGGGAAGCCGTTCGCGGGCCGGCCGATGATCGAGTGCAACCAGTGCGGCATTTGGGTGCATTTGTCATGTGCAAAGATCAAGAAGTCCAATGTTCCCGACATCTTTTACTGCCACAAGTGCAGGGACCAGCGACGGTCAGGACACAAAAAAGACACTTAGAGACAAGGGCGATGATGATGATGATGATGATGAGCACTCACCTTGTTTTTGCTGTCCTCTTCTTGACACTTACTTTCTTTGATGCCTACAGCCAAAACAGCCTAAATTATCACCTGGATGGCAACTGTATTGTCAGTTTGTAGGATTTCTTTTGACAATCACAACCATTCTTATTTATCCCTTTATATATATATTTTTTAATTTCTTATTTTTTTCCCCCCCTTTTTTTGTCGACTGTGAAGAAATGGACAGAAGGCAACAGTGACGGTTGAGAATCTTTTTTTTTTTTTTTTTTCCCGGGTCACTAAACAATTGCTACATTAATTGGCTTTGTTGTTATTTACTATGCTGGTGCATACATTTTCACACTTGGTCTCATATTCACTGAAAGTGCATTTTTGACTTGTAAATTATTTCTCCGACGATATCGACAAATCAGCGATCCCTCGCGTCTCTGAAGGATTCTCAGTTTGACAGTCGCTTCTTTCTAACTAAATCAATGCAAGATTTACATCGACAACAACAACAGTACCGCTTCTATATTGTGTAGCTTGAACGTCACTCCTGTTATTCGTTTAGTCATAACGCTTAGTCGGGCAGCTCATTTCTGTTTAGCGACTTATTTTTCTTTGGGGTTGTCAGTGGCGATCACTGAACTTTAAATAAGTAGAGCTCTCACTCCTTTTGAAATAAGAGATTTTTAAAAAAATTTATAGGATCAGCTATGATGTATTAGTTTGAATCTACATTCAAGTTGCACACACACAACAGTATGTTTCTAAAAATATAAACCCCAGTACAGCTTCCACTGCATACATGGGTGGAATAGGACAATATAAGCTACAGCTGATTCAGTCTCTTACCTGGCTGTGTACATTCATGATTGAGCGCTTAATGTTTCTCACTGTCTGGTTTGTTAATCAATCCTTGGTAGCCATTTACCATGAACAACATTTACATTAAAAGCTGTTAATTTTTTTTATGTTTTTTGTGTGTGTGTGTGTGTGTGTTACCGAGACATCGAGGCGGAGGGGGAGGTAACGTTGCTGTACGATGAGTGGTTACAATGATTAACAAAAAAAAGTGGCTCCGAGGCCCGTTTATGAATGGTTGTAAAATATTTGTTTTTCTATTTCATGTAATATGTTTTATTTCTTAGCTTTTCTGAGAAGCGGGATTAGAGATGCGCCCGCGTCAGAGAAAGGACATAAAGATTGTCTCACATCGAGAACAAAGTTGTAGTGTACAGAAGAAGAAGAAAAAAAAAGAGGTCGAGGCTGCATAGGTTTGTGGCATTTGTTTATTTTTTTTTTTGTTTTACCATGTGCTTTTTTTCTTTCGTCGGTGGGTGAGTCTTGGTAAGTCTCCGGTAGCAGTTGCACTCTCTGTACAACTTCGATTCTGTGTACATATCCTGTTCTTTGACAACTGTACATATGTGAAAGTGAAGAGAGAGAATACCCAAGCAAATTCTATATTTTCTGCAGTCTGATATTGTTTTGTTTAATTGTAGCTTGACAAATAAAAGTCTTTGGGAACAAAAAAGAGTTATTGTCATTGCAACACCAATAAAGACACAAAACCGTTATTTACCGCATTTTATTAAGACGTCAGCACACGGAGGAAGTGTTTGTCATGTTCAACCACAAGAGGGAGACGGTCGATGGTTGGATCGTCACATCTTAGTGTGGCGGTGCAGTGAGTTAATGAATAAATATCAAGCTGAACAAAGCTCACACATGGAGTGACATCGAGGAGGGAGAAAAATAGATGTTTTCTGTTCAGGCTTCCCGGTAGATGTCTGGTTATTGCTGCAAGAGAAATGTATAAAAAGTTCTTCAGTATGAATGGTTAAAGTTAAATGAAAATCTGGATCATTGTCAGTGCAAATGACAGGAAATAAAAGTTGATCCAAGAAATGAAGAAGGAATCTGTTGAAGCTATAATATAAATGCAGACAGATTGTTATTGCTGATTAAAGCTGCACCACATTTGAAAGTGATATAACATCTTAAAACCACATTTTGGGTTAAATTACCACAGCAGTAGTTAATTTTCTATGTATTTTTTAGTATTGCTATTTATTTTAAAGTATATAGTTTATTATTTTTTTAATTATTTTTTTAAATTAATTTTTGTAAATATTTTTTCTATTTTTAAATATATTTTTTATTTTCTTTCTATTTTTTATTTTGTATTCCTCTCTTCTATTTGATCACATCAAATAGAAAAGAGGAAAAAAAATGTGCATATCAAACGAGAGCTCAGGTCTTAAGTGTCCTTCATTCAGTAAATATAGAACAAGACAGAATACAGCTTCACTCAAGGGACATCTTTCTCTTTTTTCTCACCTTTCGGTTTCGGAAACTGGACATTTGAAAGCCACCGATGGAATCTAAAGGAGCGACTTTCCTCCTGTTGACACCGAAAAGAGAGAAAGACGAGCTCGGTTCAACACATTTATGTTCTGAGATGTGCAGTGAGTCATACAAATTAAAATACAATCATTCATTTTATACATATTATACTTATCTATCTATCTATCTATCTATCTATCTATCTATCTATCTATCTATCTATCTATCTATCTATCTATCTATCTATCTATCTATCTAAGCAAAAAATAAAATAAAAAATCATCGATCATCGTTCGTTAACGCTTAACTCTTGAGGTGTATGGGAAGTATATGGCAAATCTAATTAATAATTATCATCAATTATGTTATTCAAGTGGTTATTTCAGTTTCTGAAGTTAGAAATGTGCTGTTTTTAAAGTTAATCTTACTGGTTTCACCTTTTTTTTTTCTCTTTAACACTTCTTTCCCTCACCTCTTTTCGTTGGCTTTACGCTTGTACTGGAACTGGTTCTCTCCCAGAAGGTGTTCCGTTCGAGGAGGGAAAGTCTCAGAGGAGTGATGGTCCACAGTCCTGCCCAGCTCCCCTTCATCACCCACAGAGAGGTCGCCCACGTCCGAGCGATCAAACAGGTGAGAAAAGTCCTCTTGATCCAGCCAGCTGGTTTCCTGAGGACAGTGATCACAGTAAGAGTCAAACACCCTGCACTGCTGTTTGACCATGAGGTGATGTAAGTGAAGGCTTACCCTTTTGTTTCTGAACTTGCTGGGTAAGACAGCAGCAGATATTTCCTCCAGCATCAGGTGAAGAGCCAGGAAAGGTAGCACACATCTGGAGCAAAACATCTGGAACCAACAGTCAGATGTCACTTTCAGGACACAAAAACATGAATTTCAAAAGAGAACCACCTGCTTACCTTCAATCTTGTTCCACTTCTGTCCTCAAAGATCTGCAACTCCGTCTCTCTGCTGTGGCCCAGTGCGGAGGGTTTTTGTAGCCCTGCGTCTTGGGTGGGTTTATATCATGCCACTATTACGGGGCTGTTTAGGCTAAGTGTGTGTGCGCGTGTGTGTGTGACTTTAGACATGCCAATTACATCTGCCGCCTCGCTGGCCAGCATTGTCATGGTTAGTGCTGACAAAATGCCTGAACATACGTACATACATGCATACAGATACACATTGTGTCACCACCGCGCCCTTTCCCACTTTCCTTGATGAGGAGAGATGAGATAAGGACGTTGTGTTGAGGACGTTGGAGCTCCGTGTTTACAAGCTTGTCGTAGGGTGCTGCATTATACTGGGGCTGGTTTAGGCTGATGTTTGTTTGTCATTTTATATCCTTTCAATTTGATCACAATAAGAGTAAATGAGCAATGTTCATATATAATAAAGGGTTTTCGCTGAGCTGTGCATTACACCCATGAAAAACACACACACAACTTTAAGAACTTCCTTTTTGCATGCGTTTTAATTCACTTGGAATCATTAAGTTAGACTATACAACGACACAATACAGCTACTTTCTCAAAACAGCAGAATTTGGCAAAATGCTTGCTGGTATATTCTGTCTTCTTTCGACAATACAGCAAAGAATCTTATTTTGTACTTTAAAACAGTGTTAGAGAGTAATTAAGTACATTTACCTAAGTACTGTACAGAAGTATAATTTTAAGGTATTTGAGTATTTACACTTGATGCTACTTTATACTTCTACTCCACTACATTTACCGTAGCTGTAGTTACTTCTATAAGATGATGATTTTTTTTTAAATACGACACATTGTAAGTGATCCAATCAATAATTTCCAAACATTTAGGCTTCTGATGTCTCACAAGAAGCCATGTGTAGTCAGGATCCCATTTCAGATGTCTATGAGTCGGTAGCTTCCAAAGAATGATTCTTGACTCAGTTCTCAGATGGTTTAATTTCACTAAATGTGCAAATGATCCAGTTTCTTACCAAAAATCAGAGATGAGAAAAGTCCTAAAACTTAAACCAGAATTCTATATCTGAATTTAGTTTTTTCTTTCCTCTCCCACTATTCATAAACATTTATCTGCCATCCCTGTGTATACATGAATAAAGCATAATAAAGAATATAAAGTAGCTCAAACTAGCTTCACCTGCAGCAGGCACAACAGTAACAGCTTACTCTAGCTTCAGTATTATTCATCTAAGGATATCATAAAGGGCTGCAAGGTGGGGCAGTTGGTAGCACTGTTGCCTCGCAGTAAGAAGGTTCGCGTCCCAGTGGGGGCACCGGAATCTTTCTGTGTAGAGTTTGCATGTGCACGGGCAGCGTGGGTTGAGTCCAAAAACATGTTGAGGTTAATTGGTGATTCTAAATTGTCTGTAGGTGTGAATGTGAGTGTGCTTGGTTGTCTGTCTCTAAGTGTAGCCCTGTGATAGACTGGTGACCTGTCCAGGGTGTCCCCTGCCTTCACCCTGACTCAGCTGGGATAGGCTCCAGCCCCCCACGACCCTAGTGAGGATTAAGCGGTGTATAGATAATAGATGGATGGATGATATCATAGATAATAATATATCAGTCAGAAAGCCTAAAACTGTACTTTTATGTGAATTCTTTAGCTATATTTACTGCCAATACTTTTTTTTTTCTATTTTTATTTATTTTTTATCTTAGTAGAATTATTCATGTGAGGCGTTTACCTGTAATGGAGTCATTTTATTTTGCTCTATTGATCGTTTGACATAAGCAAAGCATCTGAATATTTCTTCCATCACTGCTAGAAATCTACTTTTTAATAATTAGAAATAATTCTAATAATTTTAAGGGTTTTAGTTTTCTTGGATATGCGAAATAAAATCACAGTCTTGACTTTGACGTTTCTTGTTTCTGGTTATTTATTTGCTGAATTTGTTTTCTAATCTGACATTCATTTTACTGTAAAGCACTTTGTAACTATGCTATGGTTGTTAATTATTATTATTATTATTAGTATTATTAATAGACTGCCTTGTTCTATAAACTTGTTTTAAAAAACAAGACTTTTAATCTTAATAAAAAAATGACCATGTTGTAGAATTTCTTATAAAATCCTCCAGATCATGTCCAAGGTAAGGAACAGTGTTTCTGTCCCATCAGACCACGAGCTTCACACATGGAAAAGAAAACAACTACCTCGTACAACTAAATATTACTAACAATTTACTTATAGTCATTAAGTCTGACAGTTGCTATTTACGATGACATACAACCTCAGCCATGCCTATGATGATTACAACTTTCCCTTTCAAGTGTAATTTTCCTTATTTCAATGCAACAAGTTGTATAATTTTTATTCGAGCCCTCATGTGAACAAACTTCTGAAAATAAAGTGATTTGTTTTTTCTCAGAAGTACTTCAAGTAAATCATGCAAATTCTGCATTTTGTACTTTACAAATGATAACAATAAGCAATTATTTAGCAAGATTAATATAATAGAATAGAATAGAATAGAATAGAATAGAATAGAATAGAATAGAATAGAATAGAATAGAATAATGTTTTTTTGTGGTTTCTAAGATGTCGATAAGTGCACATATAATGAAAGATCAGAGATAGTATCAGGACTCCACTGTGTGTGGTAAACTCTGCTTCGCCCGACTTCACTGGCGGATCACCACCCAATCCAGACCACACATGAGACTCTCCACCCTCCTCTTCCTCCTCCTCCTCCTCCTCCTCCTCCTCCTCCTGCAGCCCGCTTTGCTGTCTCCGTCTCCAGATAACAAAACAGACGGGAGACAGTGCAGCTGGGATGGATGAAGAGATTGGCAGAGGACGGGGTGGGGGAGTCTATGCGCGTTCAGACACGTTTTCACTTTTCCTCTTTTTCCGCCCTGTTCTAATTATTGCTATTCTGGGACACTGGCTGAGGCTCACCAAACATAGAACTGGTGCTGATAGATCAGTCGTGTATAAATAAACCGCGACAAGGCTGGAAGCATGTCAGCAAGAGCAGAGGCCAGATGGGCTGCACTGATTACCTCCATTATCAGCGATAGGCCTCATTAGGAGCCTCTAGCTGGGTGTGCAACTAAAAAATAATAAAAAAAGTTCAATACAGGTCCTCCCAAAGATGTAAACATGAGGAGAATCCTTTAAAAAATAAGGACATTCTGTAACTCCTGTAGGAGGTTAGGCAAGGTCTGAGGTAGGATCAGGTTTAGTTTAGATAAATGG